TGGATGGCATGCATATCTGTGGTATGATAAGATCAAAGCACATAAAGCATTTAAAAATCATATTGTCAGGAAAGCTTTGTTTAATGTTTGGATGAGATATAAGGACTTATTGGAAAATAAAACCCCAAGGTGGCTGTCACCGATGGAAGCGAAAGCCTTGAAAAAGCTCAATATGGAGGTCAAATGGCGAAATATTGGGAAATTTTAGAACAAGATGGAGATAGATTGAAACTGCAGAGTTTTGAAAAACTAAAAATAAAGTGCGAGACTGGCTTCATTATTATCAGATAATGGAGGCATACAATTTGGACAAGAAAATTGGCTTCCAGGTGGAAAAATCAAAATTAGAAACAGAACTGTTAGAACCCAAAACTAAGAATTTGTCAAGAATGTATAACTTGCTGCTGAAATGGAATACTCAGGATGAAACGGTGAAATCTGCTATGATTAAATGGGCACAAGATGTTGGACATAATATTATGTTTGCTGACTGGGAACAGTTATGGACCACAGGTATGAAGTTTACGGCATGTAATGCCCTAAGAGAGAATATTATGAAAATGATATACAGGTGGTACATAACCCCAGTCAAGCTTGCAAAAATCTACCATTTGCCCGATAATAAATGTTGGAAATGTAAAGAAACTGAAGGTACATTCTTTCACCTTTGGTGGACGTGCCCAAGGATTAAGGTTTTCTGGGAGATGATTTATAATGAATTAAAAAGGTATTTAAATATACCTTCTTGAAGAAACCAGAGGCCTTTCTCCTGGGCATAGTCGACCAATCGGTGTTAAAGAAGGACAGAACTTTCTTTATGTATGCTACAACAGCAGCAAGAATACTTATTGCAAAGCATTGGAAGACACAAGATCTACCCACACTGAAGGAATGGCAGATGAAAATGATGGACTATATGGAATTGGCGGAAATGACTGGCAGAATCCGAGACCAGGGAGAAGAGTCGGTGGAAGAAGATTGGAAGAAATTTAAAGACTACTTACAGAAATATTGTAAAATTAATGAATGTTAGAATGATGACAGATTGAAGTTAAGCGGTTTCTAGCAGTAATGGTTAAAAGAATGGAAAAATTGGTTTTTAATAGGTAAAAATTTAATGTTATAATATATTAAGATTAAAGATCAGGATTAAAAAGGAGGGAAAGAAATTGCTGGACTAACAAACTGAATTGGAATACAAAAGAGGGAGGTATGAGGAGGTCCGGGAAACAAGTAAATGTAAAAGAAGTGATGAAAAGACGGAATTGTTTTTAACTGTTTTTTCTTTTTTCCTTTTGTATTTTGTATTGTGTATTTTTCTTTTTATTGTTAATTTTCTTTTTTTATTAATGTGATCCTCTCTTGTGAAACTTTAATAAATATCATTTAAAAAAAAGAAAAAGAAAGAAATTCATAAGCAGCTGTTTGACTAATCTGCCAGGTGAGCGTGTGTGTTTGCTTAGCTGGATTTAGTACATTCATAATTGAAAACTATGCTATGCCTGACTTGCTATCCTGCTCCATAGTGAAAACAAATCTATATTTTTTATTGGACTTGGCATTGTTTTTAAAATATATATTTTTAGTATTGATGTTTTATTGTTAAATTGCTTCAGAGTTTTATAAAAATCATGGCTTCCCCCATAATTCTTGTAGCTGTGTTTTGTTAATGGTGCTGTGAGTTGTTATGAGCCCTGTATTATTTCCCCCAAAGAGCTACAGTTCTCACAGTGGTTTGACAATCATTCCATCTTCCCAGACACTCTAGAACAGGCATGTCCAACAGATAGATCATGATCTACTGGTAGATCACTGGACGTCTGTGGTAGATCACTGGCTCACCCCAAAGAAGCTCAACAACTTTGCCCTGGTGAATCCCTAAAAAGGGGGCCTTCCGCCTCCCTTAACAAAGTTTAACAACTTACCCCCCAAAAGGGGGTAGATCACTGTCAGTTTTTAACTCTATGAGTAGATCACAGTCTCTTGGGAGTTGGCCACCCCTGCTCTAGAAGTTATAGCTCTGGGAGGGGAACAGAAGCCTCCTGACAACTCACAGCTCCCCTAACAAACCACAGCTCCCAAAATTCTTTGGGGGAAGCCGTGACTGTTTAAAATAGTATCACTGTGCTTTAAATGTGTGGTGAGAATGTGGCCTGAGTCTGCTTCCTCCCTGCCATGATCACCAGCTGTCAATGCTCCTCTTCCTCACCTGCTTGCTTGCCTGGCAGAGAGCCAGTGGGCAATCAGATAGTGGCACCAGAGTAAGAAGAGACGGGTGAAGAAGCAACCAGGCAGCAATGGTAAAGAGGTGCAGATCCATGTGGCTTCTGTCAGTGGGCTCCTTGCTGGAGCGTCCTCAGCTGATGCCCAGCTCATGGTGGCAATCCTGCGTTTGTTTGAATCATGAAGGAAGCCAATGGTTTATGAAGCTGGTTAGTTTCAACAATGCATAATTAACTACAGCATAGGATTTGGGCATAATGCTACATTGCGGTTAACCGAAATAGGAAGCAGAAGCTTCTAATCTCCTGTCTGCATCCACAAGAAAGGAAGTATGTTTCTATACTGAGAAAGCACAGTTTGTCATGATATTGAAACTCAATGTGTTCCAGAAAGACTTGCATGACCTGTACTCACACTTCCATCCTTGGAGCCATCGTTTGGTCAAACTTTCAGCTTCAGTGAGAGCATGTCATTGGTAGGGATTAACAGTATCTTGTATTCCTATAGAGTTTGTGAAAAAGTGGACAATCTGCAAGGACCTAGATGATCCAGTTACCCTTACCATGTATTAAAGAAATCACAAGGGGGGGGGTGCAGTTAAACATATTAACAGATTGTTTGCTGAGTGTTTTCCTTAACAGGGACTCATTAATATCAAAGTTAATTAATAGAGCTCGTTCTTGTGCTTCCTCCAGCAACCATGAGCCCTTAAGCATCCATTCCTTTTGGGCTGCTATGCCTTTCGGCATTAATTTGGATACCTGCCACCCAACCCAAAATGCCTATGCATGCTGAGTAGAAGCATCTCACTCCTATGTCTTTAGACACTTGGTGCTGCTTCATTAGGCTGCTTATTTTTATGCTCCTAGGAAGAACAAAATGGAGAGAGAGATCATTAGCTTCTGATGGAACAGCTGCAGATGACAGCAGAGGCAGGCTCTCTTCTCAGCACTTTGCAGCCTGGTATTAGTGTACTTACCCAGATATCTAGTCACATTTCAATTATAATCTGTTCCTCTACAGACCACCCTCAGCCCCCCCTCTCTCCCCCCAAAGCTGCTCAAAATATGACACTGCCTGAAAAGCTTTGGACTGTTGGTTTGAGCAGAAGAATTGCTAGAGAGCATTAAAGCTGAACCAGCTGAGCCAGAGTTGTTATGTCCCTGAGGCTAAATCACTTTATGGCTAAGATCACAGGCTTAACAGGTTGTTTGTGAATCCCACTTGTAATAGCAGCACATCTTTCAGTGTTATTGCTCATAATGTATATTAATATAATAACCACCATAATGCTTCCATCTAAAAATCCAGTCCTGATTTTTGCAGAAGCACCAAGCCCTGCACTAAAAATGAGTCGTGTATAATAGCATCCTTGAGACAAGGGGAATGCATAGGGAATTCTCAGTCCTGGAAGTGTATGTGTGTTTTTTAAAAAAGAAGTAGCCATTGCTTTTATGTTGTAAATATTTAGGCCAGCCTTCCCTAGACTGGTGCTCTCCAAATGCCCGGTTAATGCTTATACATGCTGGGGCTGACAGGAGTTGGAGCCCCAAAACATCTGGAAAGTACCACAATGGGGAGGACTGCCCTAAGATACACTTCAATTCAAGGCTCTTAGCAGAAGACCAATAAAAATACAGTAGAAAGTTAGAACGATATAACCATGCCCAAAGGTGGCCAATATGCACCTTAATTTGCAAAGGGCAGCTCTGTAGCGGAAGAACTGCACAGTCCAAGAATGGAGGAGGGTGGGGGGCAGTGGCCTTAAAGTTGCCCATCAACAGTTAGCAGCAATTGGAGAACAGACTGATCAGACACATGAGTCACCTTGTCAGTGTCTTCCCCTCTAGGGTGAGATGTACAGTATTTCTACTTGAATTAGAGCCATTGTTTCCAATTAATTATCTATATACCTATAAAATTAGCACAAACCAATTTCATGCAAATCTTATTAATTAATTAATGTGCCAGTTATATGACCTCTTGGCCTCTTATGTTTTTGGGGGGTTTTTTGTGAGATACAACTGGCCACCCTGTCAGACTCACCCAGCATTTTACAGCTAGAAATAAAGGCATGCTGGCTACCCCAAGGATTGGTGCCTACCTCCCCACATGGTCGAAGACTCTTCTCCACTACTGTAGGAGTCTGTGCTCCATTGGTTTTAAAGCTAAGTAGTTTTTGTTAGCTTGGCAAAAGATACAACCTGGTGTTAGCAGATCAAAACACACCTCATGCAGCAACAGTGTTTGAATTAGGCCATCAGGGTGGGTACAGACAGTCACAAAATTGCATTAAAAAAACAAACATTCAAGAGCACACAATTATAATCGTACATGAACTCTTGAGGTCATGCCTGCACTACAATTTGTGTGGCCCTGGCAAAAATGCCCTGAATGAGTCCCTCCCCACCACCTCCCCATTCAAACACTTTCTCCTTCTGTGGCTGATTTTGCTAGCCTGGTGTCTTCCAGGGATTTTGGACTCCAACTTCCATCAGACCCAGCTAACACAGCTGTATTCATGGAACTTATCTTCAGCAGTCATACATACCACGTTGGGTGAAGAGGATAAAAAAAATAGGAGAGGTCTGTTGCCTTTCAGCCTTCCTTGAGGGCTTCTGAGAGGCATCAAATGGATCACTGGAAGTTCCTTTTATGGTATGGTAGCTTGCTTCTGACTTTTTGAGAGTTAATTTTTTTTTAAAAAATTGCCTCTGTAGCTCACAAGAGAACCATAGAATCATAGTGCTGTACAGCTTGGAATGCTTGGAATATTTTGCCCAACATGGGACTTGAACCCACAGCCTTCAGATTAAGAATCTCATGCTCTACCAACTGAGCTATCCCAGTATGGCCTGAGTCCATCCCCTTTCTCCTCCCCTTTATTTTAGGAATTATTATCACCACGGTCCTCTCCAGACTGATTCATTCAGTAACAAGTCATTGACTAGCACATTAGTGGTGGATTTATACCAGACCATCCATACATCATTCTCCATTATTAGTTCTACAATGTTACCACAAATTTGCTGTCTGGAGGGGCACTCCTACACTATAGCACCACAAAAACAGGGCAACATTCTTTCCTCACCCATTTATCGCATAAAATTATACTGTACAGTAATACCTCCACGAACGTCCGCCTCATCTAGCGTCCATTCCGGTGAACATCCGCAGCAACCCGGAAGTACTGGAATGGGTTACTTCCAGGTTTGCCGCTTGTGTATGCGCAGAAGTGCAAACCGTTCCGCGGGCGCAGTACTTTGCCCTGCATCCTTTTCAGCTAGCGGCCGGGGCTCCAGAACGGATCCCAGTCGCAAAACAAGGTACGACTGTATAAGATTTCATCCAAGGAATTACAGCACATGCACTGATTAGAAATGAAGTAGTGTTTCCATCCTGAAACTTTTGAAGGTGCAAATAAATCATGCATAACTGATACTGATACTGATACTGATACTATCATGAGCACAAATTATTGACTGCACAATAAAAAGGATGTCTTTGATAAAATGACAACTGCCTTGAGGTGCTAGAAGCAGTTAACACCAGACCCCGACCATTAGGTCCAGTCGTGACCGACTCTGGTGTTGCGGCGCTTATCTCGCTTTACTGGCCGAGGGAGCGTACAGCTTCCGGGTCATGTGGCTAGCATGACTAAGCCGCTTCTGGCGAACCTGAGCAGCACATGGAAACGCCGTTTACCTTCCTGCCGGAGTGGTACCTATTTATCTACTTGCACTTTGATGTGCTTTCGAACTGCTAGGTTGGCAGGAGCTGGGACAGAGCAACGGGAGCTCACCTCGTCACGGGGATTCGAACCGCCAACCTTCTGATCGGCAAGTCCCAGGCTCTGTGGTTTAACCCACAGCAGTAAATTCTACTGAAACCAGCTGAGGCAATTCAATTGGTTAAAACATCTGGCTGACCTCTGTGGGAAAGGATGCCAGACTAGTTGGACTCTTCCTCTGGCCCAACAGGGCTCTTCTTAACAGGCCTTGTTAAGTACATTTGCTTTGGATCAGAGTGCAAGAGTTGTCCCAGGATGTTGATCCACTTTTGGACAGAAGAGAAATACGTAGTTTCTCCATCTGTTACTGAATACTAAATAAACAGTTTTGCAAAACCCCTTGGGAATAGAAAAACAGATTCATGATGCCAGCTTGAAAAGAAAACACATTACATCCACTGCTAAGGGGTTTTATAACTGTCTTTCTCTTCCTACTCCTTATACAATAAAAACACTTTATGAAGAGTTTTACAATGTACAACCTTCCTATTTAAATTTTTGTGCTGAGGGTGTTTGCATGCCTGCTTGTTCTCTGTAACTATTCTCTTTTGCATATACTGGTATCTCGGGTTAAGAACTTAATTCATTCCGGAGGTCTGTTCTTAACCTGAAACTGTTCTGAACCTGAGGTACCACTTTAGCTAATGGGGCCTCCCACTGCCTCTGCCACACGATTTCTGTTCTCATCCTGAAGCAAAGTTCTTAACCAGAGGTACTATTTCTGGGTTAGTGGAGTATGTAACCTGAAGCATCTGTAACCCGAGGTACCACTGTACTTCATATTTCAACCCTTCTCAGAAAAATTTGGATCTAACATTGTTATGGACAAATTAGGTGCATTTGCATAAATGCACCTCTTCATAAAATACACACTTGAGTGCATTCACACCAACACACAGAAATAAGGCTTATCAACATAGCCCCGAAAACTGACCAATCAAATCCCTCCTCCTTTGACAGGCATCCAATCAGAACACTGAAGCCCTTAAAATTTTAAATCCCCTTGCAGAGTAGCAGCTCTGCAAACCCACTTCAGAATAGTTTGTCAACACCTCATCCATCAAACAGTGGGGGGCAAAATGGAGACACACACCTAGTGGAAGTCATTAATTAAACCTATGAACCCTATTCTGTGAATGGAAATCAATAGAAAAGCACTGTAAATGTTTGAATAAATTGTTTTATTTGTACAACAAGAATCTCAAAGACATAAATAAAGTGGTCCCAAGCAGTAGTGCTGGTAAAGTGAGGGGAAATCATAATCCCTGAAGCACAAGAGCACATACTCATACTTGGACCTCTCCCTGAAAACTGTCAATGGGCAAAACCTAACCTAACAAAATAAAGAAAGATGACTTACAAAAAGGGGCTATTTGGACAAGAGACTGAGTGAATCAGACTAACACAACTGTAATATCAAAGTACCGTAAATGTAAATGCTAGCTTGACTGACAGGTGACAAGTCAGAGACTCAAAGATCAGTCTACCACAACACTGTTTTTTGTGACATGGCATGGCATTTGTAATACACCTTTGGGGGAGAGTATGATGGGGGAAATGGAATTTTTAAAAAGAAGTTGCTCTCTTTTGTTCAGGGCTTCTTCTTTCATGCTTAGAGGTTGAAACCTGTTGCAACAATAAAGATCAGGCTTAATACTTGCCTTTTACTTAGTTATGAAAGTATCCTAGCCTCCTTTTCAAATTTCTTTTAAATTCTGTTTATTTATATAAACATTTATGTAAATTTAATGAATTTTAGTTGTTTTTAACTCATCAGCCATTCTTTCTTTAACTACATCATTACTCTAATAGCAATTCTAAATCCAATCTAGCCTTCAAACACCTATATCAGATGCTGCACTTGCCGTGAACTTATTATTTGAAGGTCTTCCCACAGGCAGGCAGCCAGTTCATTAGACTGAGGCTCTCCTGCTCACAGGTGGTGATGGTTTTTATCTTTTACTTTTACACACAAAGTTCAGGCTCTTGGACACTCACAAATGCATGGTTGTTGCATGACAAGCCAGCTGCCTTCTCTCTACACCAATGTACTGATTTGGGTAGGAACAAGCAAACAAACTTTGGCATATTCTCTGTAAGGAGTTATTTTGGACCATATTCAGAAAATGCCTCCCAACAATCAGCTCAAGCCCCCTTTTGTCTGGGAAGCATGAACAGCCTCACCTGCACAAAACAACACACAAATGCTTTTATGGCTCATTTGGGAGCATGCCGAGTAGGAGATGATAAAAGCTCAACTGTATCATTCCCACACAAATTGGACAAACAGGAAGTAAAATGTGACTTTGCTTAACCCCTTTAGTGAATAGCACAGAATCTCGAATATGTCCACTTATGAAGCACTACACTTTCAGTTAGGTATAATTATATATACTTCCAATTAGAAAAAAAATAGTTTTTTGGTCTGAGTTGATATAAGGCACATTCCTGTATTGAATTACCCCATCCATATGGTTATTGACACTCTCAACACAACCCCCTCAAGGAAATGTTTAAACATCGGATGACAAGACAACAGATCCAGGCCCCTTATTTATCCCTCCCTGAAGAAACTGAATAAAATCATGAATACTGTGTAAGGTAAGATCCACTCCAGACTGGGAACACCAAGGCAGGTAAGTTGTTCAGGTGGTGCTGTAATTATAACTGGTTGATGCCCTTCTGTAAGCCAGCAAGCCATTAAGGACCTGTCATAAAAGCAGCTCAGACAATGGCAAAAGGATATTATAAGATTTATCTAGAAAGGGAAGAAACCAAGAATAAAATAGAAACTTCTTACTGACATTAAAGACAGAGGAGGTTTCTCTCTACCAGATTTAAAATTATACTTTGAGGCAACCTGCATTTCCTGGATTCGGGATTGGATTAAATTAGAGAATACACACTTGTTAGACTTGGAAGGGCATGATAATAGATTTGGTTTTTACTTACTTACTTACTTATTTAATTTCTATACCGCTTTATATTTTTAATAAAAAACCTCAAAGCAGTGTACAGCATTAAATCAATAAATCAATAGCCATGTGATGTTCCTCCGGCCTCATGAGGAGCCTCTTTTTGGCATGCGTATTTATGGTATTAGAAAGCAAAAGTCCACAAAAGATTTCATAATCATATAATAAGAAATGTGATTTTTAAGGTACGGGAAAGATATAACAAACAAAACCAAACCAAACCATGGTGGATATCCCCAGTAGAAGCAATATCTTTAAAAAAGGTAAATATGAGGACTAAATGGCCAACATACAGAGAGCTGTTAACAGAAGTGGACAACTAATTAAAGTTAAAAGAATTTGAGGAAATTAGAGAGAAGGTAACAGATTGGTTACAGTATCTTCAAATAAATGAAAAATTTAAAAATGATAAAAAGAAAGGTTTTAGCTACATAATATCAAGATTTCAAAGAGAAATTGTAGAAGATAATACTGTACAAAATTACTGTTGAAAATGTATAATTTGTTGTTGGAATGGGAAATCAAAGAGGTGTGTGATGATAAAATGGGCAAAGGATTTGGGACACAATATACAAATGAGTGATTGGAAAAGGCTTTGGAGGACGGACTTGAAATTTACTGCATGTGTGTCACTTGAAGAGAACTATATGAAAATGATGTACTGATGGTACTTAACTCCGGTGAAACTTGCTAAAATGTATAGAACAAGTTCTAATAAGTGTTGGAAATGCAGAGAAAAGGAGGGTACATTCTATCATAGGTGGTGGGAATGTCAGGTTATTAAAAGCTTCTGGGAAATGATCTGTGATGAACTGAAGAAAATGTTTAGAACAACTTTTGTTAAAAAACCAGAAGCTTTTTAATTAGAATTGATAGGAACTGAAGAAAATATTTATGTATGCTACAACAGCCACCCAAATACTGTTAGCCCAAAGATGGAAGGAAGAAAAGAAACCGACGAAAGAAGAATGGCAGATCAAGCTAATGGACTATGTAGAAATGGCAAAATCAATGGTAAAGCTCAAAGACTACGATAACGAGAAATTTTAAAAAGAGTGGGAATCATTTATTGTTTATGTGCAAGAATACT